TCAAAAACGAAGAAAGAAAAGAGGGGCTTTGTGCAACCGGTGTAAATATCGAACACAATGCTGACTTGAGTTCCTCGTGGCTGGGGACGGATGATTGAAGCACCGCATCAGGGTCAGCAGCACCCACCGACCACGGGACAGATGGCTCCGAGGGTTGCACGGGGCTGACGGCAGCTCTCGTACCTGTCTGGCTGATCCGTCCTTTGAGGACTGCCGCCGCTTGTACAGTCCGTGGCAGCTGAATGCTCCTGGGGTTTCCCGAGCAGACTTGCGTTGGAGTAAACCTCTTAAATTATTTATTTATTTATTTATTATTGTTATTGTTATTCTATTTTTAACTGTATGTCAGAAAGGATGCAGGTGGTCACTGTTACCAGTATTTATTTATTCTATTTTTTTTAACAATAAGTTATTTTTGGATCTGTTTGTTTGAATGTATCCATGCCGCTGTTCTCGTGTAAAGGTTTACAGCGCCGGCCCCTCTCAGTGAGGTGGCTGGAGGAGTGACGGTCACTCCTGCTGCCGTGTCCCTTTGTCCGCGCTCTCTGGAGCGTGCGATGGACAGAGGGATGCAGGGCAGAGCTGTTTGTCTGTTTTCATGTTAAAATCTAGGGTTTCTGATTAGATTTGTGCAGGAACGTGATGGATGTGACCATAGAAACAGGTCTAGGACCTCACGGAGGTGACGGCGAGCGCCTGCTCGCCGGCCGGCCGAGTGACGGGGTGTTTGCAGTGCTGCAAGGGGAAGTCTTGCCCCGGTCCGCGCTCGCGCTGGCCAGGTGCCAGCTGGCTGCCGCCGCTGTTTCCCTTGGCTCCGCAGCCAGCGCACAACCCGAAACCGAGCTGCTCTGCACAGGCACCGCTGGTTTCCCTGGGAGGATGCCGTCGCTAGGACTCCCCTGCCGTGTTTATCGCTGCGCAATGACCCACCCATGGAAAAACTAAAGAAATGAGACCGTGAGAAGAGTGATCTGTGCTGAAGACGCTTGCAAAATCCAGCCTCTGGTGACAGGACCTAACCAGGTCTGTGTGTGTATCTGTATGTATATGTGCACATGTGCATATACATATGAGGTTTTTTCAGTGGTGGTATTTATTTTTTTAACTTATTTAAGATTTTTAGTGCAACCTGGAACATCACCCTCCCTGTCAGTGGACAACTGGGTTCTCTGTCAGTTTGTGAGAAGCCGTGAGCTTTTCTGTCTCTGTGCCTTTTGCCAGCGCTTTTTTTTTTTTTAATGTTGTTTCGCTCATTCATTGCTTCTATGGATTTTTGCTCTGCGTCCGGCGTCTCAGATTGCAGAGAGTGCCAGCAGCAAAAAGCAGTGTTCACCTGGTGGAAAGGCAACTCGGTCATTTCGGTGTTGGTGAATCGCTGCTCACCTGCGGTCAGCCGCACGAGGGATGCCCAGGGCCGGCTGCAGCCTCAAGGCTTCAGGAAAATATCTCGGCCATTTTTTGGAGGCCCTATCTCAGAGGGTTTTGCTTTCCTCAAACACAGAGGCTCTTTCCCACAAAAGATTTTGTTTCCATCCCTCAAGCACCCCGGTTGCCTTTCCCCGGCAGAGCGCATGTCACAGCACCTGCTCCCAAATGTCCCCCTGGCCCCGGAGTCGTGCCGTCGGCTCTCCCCGCTCCCTGGACCTGCCTTGGCTCTGGGTCTGTCACACCGAGTGAGGCTCGTCCCACCTCTCCCAACCCCAGCGCTGGGGCCAGGCTCCAGAAAACCCAGCACAATCTCTGCAGGTTTGCTGGAAAGCAAAGATAAGGGATATTTCAAAGCACTTGTGTTCTTTCTTTTCTCCACGGGTTATGGCACTCAGTTGAGCTTTGCTTTATATTGACCACAACTTTTCTCAATGTTTTTGTTGTTTTGGGGGACTGAAGTTGCACCAAACTTGTCTGCAACAGCCAATCATTGTTATTTTGCTATGCATTGTACATATATTGAACAGGCTGAGAGGACTTAGCCTGTTCAAATATTTATTTCTTCTATTTATTGAGCATTACTTTAAAAAAGCTACTCGGGTCTTGCCATTGGGTCCATGAAGGTAGGAGCCTTTGAGGTGTTGCCATATACATTGGAGAGAGGTTATCGGAGAGGTGAATTACTGAGGCTGTCACCTGCCAGCACAGAGGCATCTGGCAGACAAATTAGGCTCATGTGGAGATCAACCGCCAGTGATTTAGGGAGAAGCCTCATTTAGATGGAGATGAGCAAGGCAAGGGAAAATCCTCCATCTTCTTGGACCAGCTTCTATTGACGAATCACAGCCCCTTGGAAAGGCGCTGGGCGTTTGGAGGCGATAGGCCAGCTGTGGCGGAGGAATAACCCTGCTCTTTGTCCTCTGTGCCGCGTGGGGCTGCTTGGATTGCCAAAGATCCCCGGAGATCTCTGATCTCCCACCGCTGAGCTTTCTTGGCTCTCAGTGGTTACTGGGAGAAGGGGAGACTTGTTGCCCTTTCACCGATGCAAGGAAGGGGACAGGGCTGAAGTGACTTGCCGTGTTCTCTACTGGGAAGCAATGATGTCCACCCTGCCTTGTCCTGAGACCATTGTCCTCGTGCCATGTCCTGCTTTGCCCCCTTTCCCAAGCTTTGCGGCCGAACCAGTAGCTTTGCCTGGATGTGAGCTCGGGAAAGGTGGCCAGGACAGGACTGGGGAGGTCTCTCCTGTCATCTCCGACATGAGCCGGGGCATGCAGGCATCTACCCCAGCTTTGGAAAAAAGCATGGGATGTGCTAAAAATCACGACCTGCCCCAGTGTCACTCCACCAACGCCGCAGCCATTGTCCTCTTCACCTGAGCGGGAGGTGTTTGTGCTCCGTGGGCAGAGCTGTCCGGCTTGGCAGGGGGTGGACGTGGCTCCGGCGTCGGCAGGCAAGAGCCCAGCGCTGGGCTATTCCCATGGGGCTGGCCAGAAGCCGTGGGGCGCTCAGCCTGGGGCTATCGTGGTATTTGTTTGAGAAAGGGACGGATTCAGGTGCCTAAGTGAAGTCTCTGCCCTTTAGTGTCCAGTGGGGTTTTACTACCTCTTTACCAGAGGATAAATAATTCTCGTGACTTTTGCTGCTACCTGGAAGTTTGCACATGCCTGGGAGGGTCTCCGCAGCACCGGTACACGATGCTTCACGGTCAAGCATCCCCACTCTCGGGCTGTTGCCTGGAGAACAACACCCTGAACCTCACCGGCCCGGGGGCAGCTCTCCGCCTTCCAAACCCAGGGAATGAGAAGATCTAGAACAAAAGCCAAGATGGGAGAAAAGCCGCGAGGGAAGCGGTGTCTCTGTTTTCTCACCCGTTGGTCGATTCCTTACCAAATGACACCGGTGCATCTGTTCATTTGACTTCATTGTAAAACTCCCTTTGCTCTCCATCGAAATGCATACTGTATTCTTTAGTCTTCCTGGGGTATTTGAGTTGTTAGCCTCGTTAGAAAAATTGTTCCAATAAAGGTTCGGACAGTATTTCCTTCTCATCGCAGCCCTGTTTGTCACGTTCCTTTTGGATGCGACTGCGCGCGGTAGGATATCTTGGGTTGTTTCAGCTGCTCTGCAGGGAAGGGCATGTGCCTCCGCGCCCAGCTGCCAAGGACTGGCTCCTCAGGGCACTGGCTGAAGCAAAAAAAGTTGTGGGCTAGGATTTCTGGCAGCTCTCCCTTCCTTGCTGGGCCAGGCTTTCACTGCCCTTTGCCAGGCGTTTTGGGTTCCCCCCGCCCCGTTCAGGCACCAGTAGCCCAAGCCAGTCTCACCATGGAGGTCACCATTTGGGCTCGCCGGTGCTCTCCTCTGGGCTGTGCCCTTCCCACGCAGCCCTTGCTCCGAGCCCTGCGTGGTGCTCCTGCGCCACAGGGTTCCCCTGCAGTCACCTCCTCAGCCGTCTCCCCATGAGCAGCGGGGCGGTGGGGACTCTTCACCACCCGAGATGATGCCCCTCGCCCTGGGATGCTCCCCTGGACTGGCTGGGGGAGCGGCAGCACCAGGCCGGGTCCCCACGCTGTTCCTGATGGGGCTCAGATGGGCAGCGAGGAAGGGCCTGGCTGCAGCACGGACGGACGCTGGGGACATGGGGCAGCGTCCCCAGGTCACTCGGAGGAGAAGGGAGGCTGCGAGGCTGCTCCGCGCTCCCCAGAGCTGATGTTGTGGGGCTGGCTCAGCCGTGGGAGGCAGCCAGGAGATTTGCAGTGACAACAGGAGCTAAATTGGGATGGCCCAAAGAGGGTGAGAGCCGGTGGAAGGGGACGTGTGACTAATGGGGATAAACAAGGCGACAGGGAGGATTCCTGGCTGGGGAGGGAGGATGGCCCAGAGCTATGCAAGGAAAAGAGGGACTGGAGATGTTGGGAGGCTCCTGGAAACACGGCAGGATCGTGGGACTGCCTGAAACCTCCCTGGGGCTCATCCCCCTCTCCCCATGGGCCAGCTGCTCTGCAGGGGAGGGTGCAGAGCTGGGTGCTGGAGTGATCCTGCTCTCCATCCAAGGTGAGAGGTGCCCAGCTGAGCTCAGGCTCGGTGTGTGGCGATGTCCCCCAGGACACCCTACTGTCACCCCCAGGCAGCAGGAGCCCCCAGCCGGGCAGGGGTAGCCAGGCAGGACAAGGGGACAGAGGGGGCTGCTCGGCCCCTCCGCTGGCAGCTGCCTCCCTGCACCCAGGGCTGCTCAGCCAGCGCCTGGGACCTCCCCAGGCATCTCCAGGTGTCCCCCTCAGTCCCCAGGGAGACCCCCATGGTGCCCAGCTGTCCCCCCCAAGCATGGGGGGGGGCAGGAGCTGAGCATGAGGGAGCAGCCCTGCCCTGCGCCAAGAGGCAGCTCCCTCCCCCAGCAATGCGGTGTCGGTGCAGCGTGATTAATGCCGTCGGAGTGACCAGCAGCTGAATCGCTGTGCGGCCTGCGCTGCATTAAAGTCTTCCTGCTGTAATTAGCTCCATCAAGTCTATTAGAAAAATTGCAGAAGCTGGAGAGAAGGAGCGTGAGGCAGACCCAGGAGGGAGGATGCGACATGAGGAAGTGGTCCCTCATCGATGACGTCCCCTCAACTGGCGCATCCCTTCACCCACCCGAGCTATGCCTGGACCACCTCCATGGGGAGCCCCTCGTTGCCACCAGGTACCCCCGGCTTGTGTGGTCGCGGCCGCGTTGCCTGCCCTGTAATAAGCCCCCCTGCCGCGCGGCTGTAATTACGGCCTCGCCCTGCCCGCGCACGGCAATTGCGGCAGGGCCGGGGCATGCGGCGGGGTGAGGAGGAGGAGGGCGCGGAGGAGGCAGGTGCTGAGGAGTGCCGCAAGCACCCTGCCTGGCTGTTGCCTGGGGTCCCTCTCCTTCCTGCGGTTGAGGGACATTTCTCCAGGCCTGGCTGGGGAAGGCGGCCGATGAAGCAGGGCTGGAGTGGAGCATCTCTTGTCCCACGGCTCGCGCCCAGGCTCTGCTGCCAGCCCTGGGTGGCCAAGACCCTGCACGATGCTGGCCACAAAAGGGGTCTGTCCCCTCTCCCGGCATCCCCCAAACACCCACCCATGGGGTCCCGCCGCCCTCGCAGTGCCACGCCGGGGTGCCACCAGTGACCCATTTCCTGGTACAGTGGGCTGCTTGGTGGGGCGGGGACACGGGGCTTTACA